GGCATACGAAATTAAAATTTCGTTTCACACATTATTTTTCTCCACATATAAAATTTAAATATAAAAAATATACGAAAAAGAAAGAAATTCCACAGGTATCCCCATTTTTTTCGTTTTTATGTTTTAAATACTGAGCAAATTTTATGAAAAAGAAAAATAAGACTTATTGGTAACTCAATCATGTTCTATGACATACTAATAAAGAAAAGGATGTTAATATTTGAAGCTCATATGTGCATAGCAAACCTAAGCAGATCAGTCCCCACAAGTAGCACGAGTTTACAATTATAATGCATCTGACAGCCATCACCCTCCTCGAAACATATTTATATGTGGTGGAGCCATGCTGCAGCTATACATATGGTTGTAGCACGAATGGGTCGGCTCGACCAGTGAAGGACCACGCTCTTACAGAATACCAGCGTGTAATAGCACAATACTGCTGTGTTTCGTATGGTGAGTGTAGAGAACTGGAGACCCAGTATAATGGAAACGAGGCATTCTATCTTAGATCTTTTTGTCTTAGTACTCAGAGGTGGCATACGCATGTGCATTTTGATACTTAATCCGAGGATATATATATATATATATATATATATATATATATATATATATATATATATATATATATATATGAGCGCTCAGTCGTGCAGTCTAAATTAAACTTAAGTTTTCTGTGACCATATTTTGTAAAATTGATAAATAGTTTTTCTAATAAAATGAGTTGCAGTCTGTATATGCCTATATAATATAGATCTTTTTAAACCTTTATTACCTTTATTGAGTGATATTATTTGCTGCAGATAAAGTAAGGTATGAGAATTATTTACTTTAAATTGGTAATTTCAGGGTAATTGTTTAGTTTTTTAAGTATGTTCAGAATAAAAATGCACAAATTGTTAAAAATATTATTTATTTTCAAACAACATTACTTATAGATGTATATTACTTTAAGCTTTTTTTAATAGTACATATGAATGTAATTCTTACTTACAAATTTTCTTAAAAAAGCAGCAAATATTTAAAATTTTTTTTTACAAGAATTCTTTGATTCATACCGAAGTAAATGTTGACTAGACAGAATTGCCAAACTGTTTTTGGAATGTAACTAGTATAAATCGTAAAAAAATAATTGTATACTATATTACATAGACCTATAGACATGGACAGAATGGACTGTTCATTCCATATTTAGTTGTGCATTGAATACTGACCGAAAAGTGCGAAAGAGACAAAGCGAATGTGTGGCCAGTAGCTGTCTCTTTCTAAAATTCTGATTGGTCCATGTCACTGGCGCTCAGGTGTATCGTTTGCGCTGAACGTGCACCTGGAACTGTAAGCAGCATTGCCAACTCAACGGATTATTCCGTAGATCTACGGAATTTGATTTCAATGTTAATTTTTTTTGTACTCCAATGTCCTTTCAGAATAATTAGATTTTGAAAAACTTAACAAAAAACATTTTCTATCATGAGTGTGAACTTAGCCGACAACCGACAATCGAAAATTTTAACAACCGAAGTAATTTTTTTAGTATAACTATCCACAAATCTTTAAGCGGTAATTATTTTTATTTTTTGTTACTAAACATAATTTAATTAAAAGACAACAATTAATTTTTTGTGGTACCTTTTTCTTATATGTGCAGCTTGATTCGATGCTATACTACAATTGAACATATAATTAAGAATTTCACATGACAGAAAGTTTCCGAAAAAAATTGATCTATTCTATGACAAAAACAAAAACTTTCGATCCACTTAAGAAATCTACAGATCTACGGATATTTTGAAATAGCATCTACGGAATCCTAAGGAAATTTTTATACCAATTTACGGATTTGAAAAAATTCGAGTTCGTAACACTGAGTGTAAGAACAATCATGTCATAGAGACAGGTATTTGCCGCACATTCGCTTTCTCTTTCTAGACAATGATCACTTTTGTGAGGCTAATGCTCAAGCCCTTCTCTCTATGTCTATGTATAGACCATATAGTGTATTAATATTTACCTATAATAATATTACAATTCCATAAAATGTTATATACAAAATGTGTTAATTTCATTAAAATTTTTGGAACTCGTAAGATTTCAAATATAACATATAGTTCCTGTCCTGTATCTACTATCCAGTATCTAGTGTTCAGTTAAAGTTACTAAGGGACTAATCGGCTGATATGTTATGTCATAACTATCTAAATTTCACTCTAGTATGATTGCCTATGTTGACAAAAAGTTAAATATTACAAAATAAATATAAATAATATATTACTTTTTTTGTATAAACCTAGAGTATAGGACGGTAACTTTATTATTTGTACAGAGTAATATCATACAATAATATTCATTTGTTTTTTATAATGTGAAACCTAATTGTATAGGACAAAATGCTATTTTTGTGCTATTGACAATGTTACTTATAAAAGATTACTGTCTTTACTCAACAAAGTGAAGTGAGTGGCAGGTTCCATTCTTTTTTTACATTTATTCACATCGATTTAAACAACATAATTTGCATAATATCTTACACTTAATATCATTTCGACCAGTTATTTACATAAATTCGAAATTTCTATTCCTTTATATTACATAAGTAACATTTAATAATTTACAATTCCTATTCATTTTTACAAATCTAATACACTAATGACCTGATTTCATAGAAAATTACACAAATAAAACTTTTTATAAAGGAAAAACTAAAGTCAATTAATGTAAATAAATAGTGACATGGTATTCCAATTTCACTGTTTTTAATTAATGTTTATATCATTCATAGGTCACAATGAATTTATGGGTATAATTCCCGAGAAGAAAATATTTATACTTTGTGCATTTTCTTGAAATACAATTTTTTTTAAATATATATAACTTTATCATAATTGAGAGATTTAAAAAAGGTTTTAAATATAAATAAATTCACGTTTACTTTTACATAATATATTAATAATTCGATTAATTATTATTTTTATGGATTTTAAGATCCAAAATGAATAAAATCTTAAAGTTAGAATACCTACCGACAGAAGTTAGTTGAAATTATAAAAAGTATGTCAGTTACATTTGCCCAATGATTCAATGTTATTTACTAGCGATCTGCCCCGGCTTCGCACGGGTGTTATCTGGATTCCACAACAGCGCCACCTACCGGCTCCAACTATGCCTATAACCTTCGCGGAAATGCAAACAATAAGTTGATAAAGTTTTACCGCAATCTGATGAATGGTTTGGCGGCGCATAAAATACGAACAAACAAATATTATCTTAATATATATAAATTACGTGTCACTTTATCCGCGATGGATTCCTAAACTACTTAACCGATTTAAATTAAAGTTGCACACCGTATTCAGTTTGGCCCAACTTGAGAGATAGGATAGTTTTTTTTTGCCCATGAGTGACCCACAATTTTTTTGCGAATTTAAGAACTTTTAATAGGACACGACAAATGGTCGTCGAAAAGGGCAGAACAACGTCTGCCTGGCAAGCTAGTTTTTTTATATATATTTGAATATAATCCTCTCAGAATTAAGGAATGGTCTGTACGGATCAGTGTGACTTACATTATCAAAAACTTATTCGTGATCAATTATACATTTCCATGTTGCAGCCAATTAGCTTAATTAGCCCTTCAGTTGATAGTCTAGCCTTAGTAAAACTAAACGACGCCGTTCAACTAGCGGCCTGAATGATATTCAGCCGATGCGTCTGATACAACATTGCTCTTACCCTGTAATATCAGATGCAGTAGTTTAAGGTGCGGCTGAAATGGCTTTTGGGCCACCTTGAAGACGCGTACGTTTATATTATATAGCATTATAAATGTACAAGTCTTTAGGCTACTGTTACTGAGCCGCGACATGCATATAATAATTCAAACAATGTAAAAAAATCTAAACCCCGTTTGATCTTTTGGGATGCTTTAATATTTTTTAAATTTTTACCAAAAAATAAAATAATTGAATCTGAACTTGATAGATAGCGCTGTTGCGCTGCTGTGGTCGAGTTATTAATATTTTTTTTATTTATTTACACCACTAAAAAGTCATCGCCATCTACTGGATAAGCGTAGAACAAAGTTTTCTGAGCTAGGTAGTGTTACCATAATAATTTAATATGTACTAAAAAGGTAAAACCTAATAATGGAATGTAAAAGACAGTTATTGAATGAACAGCGCTAGAGCCGAGACGAGTACATTGAGGTTGGTAGTATCATATTACCTATTTCTGCCGCGAAGTAACAATGCAATCACTCTTTTGTTCCAGTTTGAAGGTTAAGAGAGCCAAGTATAATAATAGACTTAGAAGCATTTCATTTGTCTTCAGGAAGACAATGCATCTAGGGAATTATTTGATTGAAGTCAAAGTATTATTGGAGTGTTTATTACTTAAGTATTATTAAAGAGTAAATATATATGCATACTCTGGAATTGAATTAATATGTATATATGTAATACTCTTATTAACATATTAGAATTTAATTATATAAAAAATCAACAATATCAAATGTCATAAGCAATTTTCCTTATACATATATAAATTAACTTAAAAATCCTATGTAATAGATAGCATAGTTTTTAATTATAAAGCAGATTCATGAAAAACTATAAACGAAAATCATTTCAAATAATATTAATTGAGTCTAAAATTAATTTGTATTATTTAACAAACTGAAATAATTCCAGACTTAAAAACTTTTAGACTGGTAATAATACTAGCTAACATTTTAATATGTATATTGTTTTACAGGTGAAGCGATTAATCCAAAATTGAGGAGTTGGTTTAATTGTTAGAGTTCGCATTTTTATTATTTACATCTGTCTATTACGGTTATAAAAATCTATTTATACCAAATTTAATTTAATAATTACAATTTACAATGTTTATATGTGTATGTTTTCGTTTATAATTAGTTCCAACATAACTCACGAGAACTCGATGGAACCTCAGGTCGAACATAAAGCAAACGTGCACAGTTAGCGATTGAATAGCTCGATCGGTCAGTCGTAGTGCAGGGCGTTTTCGGCGAGGTGTGAGGCGGGCGCGGGCGCGAGCTTGTCGTCGATGGCTTCAAGCGCTGCAGCGCGTGCGCGTGCGCGGGCCGCCCACTCGACGCGGCAGAAGGCGGCCGTGCCGAGCGACGCCAGCGCCGCCAGTACGCCCAGCTGCACCGACAGCAGCGCGCGCGACGAATAGAAGAAGCACGCGGCCGCCGCCAGCGACTGCAACACACGCGTCCATGTCTCTCATTACAACCACTAACAGATTTCTGCCCACCATTTGTCTACCACCAGGAACAGCGCCAGCTCAAGAATGAGGTGAAATATTTGATAGACTTCATGGCGGGAGAATTTGTTGGGAAATCTAAAGTTTGTTTCTTTGTCGAATATTAGTTGTCTATATTTCACATTAATTAGATTAGAAATGGATAAACCAAACTACGGATTTTCCTAAAATTATAAAAGGCAAACAAAGTTAAATAACAGAGCACTGAGACTTTGTTTTGTGTATTTACACACTAACACACGACGATTCACACGCATAATTGTCAACACGAGATGTGTTTTGACGTTACAATTGTTTCCAAATTTCGCATGCAAATTATTTAGTAAATGTCAAATTGCACACTATTTACAAATAAATATGTATTAAAATCCGTTTGTCGACACAGCGAATCGGGTTTGTAATAGTGATTAACTGATAATACGACGTAATTGCTTGTATGTGTGCTCCCAGCGACGCCGAATCTCGTACAAAATAAGGTTGACAGCCATTTTATTGTGTATATAGTATTCTATGCTTTAAAATTTAACTTCTCAATTATAATGGCATTGTATGACAAATAACTTCTCTTCAATTCCACACAGCGACATCTGATCAGCGGAAGATTATATTAACACTCATTCCTAGCTGAAATTAGGTATTTGATACTTTACTGCCTTGAACATAGTCTCTGATTAGCACTTACTTAAATTAAGCATTAAACTGTAATTATCTCTCTCTATACCCGTCTCTTTCTAAAGGCATTAAGTGAAAAGGGACGAAGCATCTTTAAGCATTTCATAAAGTTAACGTTGATTTTATAAGACTTTTAGTCAATTGAAATCTACTAACTAATTGTAATGTACTCCAGACCGGATTTCAGTCACGTTGGTAAGTCTCAGCGGAAAATAGCCATCTTTGCAGGACTGGATTATAGTGCACGAGTGTGTATGCAAGCCCAGGTACAATCTCTATTCCCTCACTTTTATAGTTTGATAGAACGAAATCCCACGCGACCAGAGAGAGATCAGACACAGGATCAATGACTTTTCACGCTTTCCGAGGCACAGGGTGGTACAAATATATTTTTCGACGTGGTAGAACTATATTAGTAGTATAGTTGTAGCACGAATGTACTCGAGGATAGATGTAGATGTCTACGGGCCACAGCAACCACGGTGGACTGTGTGCTCGTTTGTCATCTATATCCAATAAAAAAAAAACACGAAAATACTGACCACTTTTCGGTGTGGACGCGCGGTCGGCCGTCGAAAGAAAAAAAAATAGTGGGTGTCGTAAGAGTCAACTACGGAACATCGCAGACAGATTTTTTCCGTTGGATGGCGGTATGACCTGCAGGTTTACGCTATATAAACGGTGCAAAACGTCAGGTAGAATGGCTGAAATTCAGCCTGCAAAGCGTGGCGATTATGGCAACGGGAGTGTCTGTGCCCAGAAATAGATTTTCACAAGTTAATAAAAAAGAAGATTGTTGAAAGTTTTCAACTGAGGAAGGGTATATAGTACCTCACTCGTTTCTAACATACCCGCATTCAATACGCAACGTTTGTAATATCTTATAATCTCACCATCATTATTATAGAAAACAAAATTCTTGCTTTGATTGAAATTCGAACACTTAGCCGTATTAAGGGATTTTTCTTTGATTGCAATTAAAAAAATACTTACATATTATTTTTCATTTTTTACAATATATACCTTTAAATAGTCACAACTAATAAAAATTAACAAAAATATTACAAAATAACAAACCTGAGTGAACTTGAAGAGGGCGAAAGCTGACGTACTATTATCCGAATAGTTACCACCCAATATAGAGTATATCTGAGTGTTGAAGCAGGCATCGCCGAAGCCAAGTAAGAAACTGCAAAACATGGCGAGGTATGGAGAGGGGTTAATGAACGAAATCTCTGTTGTGTCTCCGAAAGGCGCCACATTTGGTAAGTTGATGAAGATGAGGAAGAAACTGGTGACATGTATGATGTAGCCCATGATTACAATGGGGTCTCGGCCCCATCGGGTCGTTTTTGAACCCAAGATACCGAAAAGAGCTCCACCTGGAATAAAATTTTAAAATTGTTATAATAATGTCGTTCACACCAAATTTCAGTCTCGGCGGCCATTCGCAACGAAAATTTGCCATTTGCGCAAGGAAGAGGATTATGGTGCACGTGTGTGCACTCTTTATTTCCTCTCTCCTAGTCCGATATGACAGCAGTGCGGGGTGATTTTCATTTCCTCGAAAAACCAACTCTTTACTTTACTTGCTTTCCAAGGCACTGGAGTGAAACACCACCAACTTCTTGATTCAAAGCTTCTACAGAGAATTTCTTGACACAAAAATCCAGTAACGTGCGACCCGGGATTTGAACCCGGGACCACGAAGACATAATGTTTTTGTCTTTCGTATAATGACCAATTAGTTTTACTGATAACGAGGTATTCCATCTTAGTCCACATGATTAGCATCATTAGCAATCCACATCGTGGATTTTGACCGAGGATAAATATGTAAGTAAGTACATAGTAAAAACAGAATAGTAGGCTATCTTATCTTATCTTCTAAGATATGTACCGAATGCCGCTAACATGTGAGCGGGCCTGGCACGTGACAGTACGGACTCGCACGCATGAGCCACAGCACGCACACGACACTTGCTAAGTCAGAAAGATCGGGCCGAGTCGGGGACGGCCACCGTCGCGCTCCGCAATCACCTTTATTAGAGACTTTGTTGACTTTTAATAAAATTTTACTAGCAGTCTTTTTTCTTTTTATATTCTCTTTTTTTAAAACAAATTAATATATGCGTTTGTTTAATTAAATTAGCTTTTTGTTAATAGGTTATATTACTACATACTGTATACTGTATATCTACACATAGATACATACCTCATAAGTACATTAATTATCATATCACATCAGATCAAATTAATTTTAAACATTAAATCTGAGCTGACACCATAATATGCTCAGTGTTAATTTACTCGTATTTTAGTTATTTGGCATTTGTTGTAATGTAAAGCTGGATTTTTTTTGACAAACATTCTTCGAGAGGAAACTAAAGAAATGATTAACAAATATGATGCATGGGTACGTATCCGTATATATTATAACTACTTATAAAACTAAATGAGACTTAGCTGTTAAGCAAAAATGCAGTGACAACCCTGCAACAGTAGAGGCATTTAAGTCTCGCGCGGCACGGAAGGATCCTACTATTCTGTGTTGACTATGGTACGTAATTAGGTGTATACAGGCAATAGTACACAACATCAAGCGGACATAAGAAACTATGACCACATTTCTTTTTTCATGTTATTTCTAGAGAAAAAAATCTCATCAAAATATTTTAAACTAAGCGACTCATCCAAATATTTTAAACTGCTCCCTAACTATGGTTTTAGTACTCCTAAAATATTATATAACGCATTATTTAGTAGACGTACTAATATAATTCAGACAAATTTTGTCCATATTTGCGTTATTATAGTTCTGTTGCGCGCCTAAGTTAATCCCGACCAACAGCGCCATCTAGTATCGAATAGAAGAACTAAGCTTTCTAGAAAAGTCCACGCTCGAACTTTCCACACTTAGTCGGCCGGGACCGGTATTTACTGGCGTTGTTCTGGATGTTTCGGTGCAAAAGGTGTATTTAAAGCCGCTGCAAGCCTCGATCGGGGCAGTATTTAATTGGCGATACAAGCGAAGCTTCGGAGCGAAATAAAGTAAACTAAAGTGATCAGTGTGCTTAATTATTAGTGAGTTTTAAGTTTTAATTGGTGTTCGGCAATTAAAGTGTCAATTTTGGTAATTCAATCGGCAGTTTTTACTATCACGAAGACTAAGCTCGTAACAATTCGTAAAAGTTCCACTACTAAACAAGTGCTAATCATTTCTCCAGAAGATCCAATCAGGCGATCTATAAGAGAGGTCTATGTTCACCAATGGACCTTGCCGTTACCGTTCAGCCTGTTAAAGTCCACAGCTGCACACAGGCCTCCCCCAGATTGCCTCACAGGCGGGATGTTTTCCATAGTTGCCACGCTCGGCGGTTTAGCCACCGCAGTTTTTTTAGTCGTTATTAGGAAGACGCTGCTGCTATTCTCATTTGTTTACCTCTGTCGCCTCTTACAACATCTATGGGATTAGGGTAGCCAGGTCTTAAAACCGAAAAGCCGGACAGACCAGCCAGTTTAGCCGGATATAACACGACACACGATAATTTTTTTAAAGTAAAACAATACTTTTATCATTTACCATAAAATCTTCTTAAATTCTAATGAAATTACAATAAAATAAATGAATCAGTCTTCGTTATTATTAATCATTCAATATTCATTACAATACTATTTAAATAATTGTTATAGTATGTAAGTATATAAGTACATGAAAATGTAAACAAAATGGTACAAATATAAAAGGCCGGACAGGCCGGACGCCGTCTAATTTGGCCGGACACGCAACCAAAAAGCCTGACTGTGTCCGGCTTTATCCGGACTCCTGGCAACACTATACGGGTGATATGGGGTATTGGATATTCTTACACTTTTGATGTGCTGTACTCGTATAATAGTTTTGTATAATTATTTTATTTATATTTTCTATCCCTGTAAACACTTATTACACGAGAGCCTGCAAACATGTTGTTACGTGTTTGTTAGATAATGTTGTTCAAAATTATCGGCCACATACAAGGCGAAATTCTTTTCGATAAGATTAATTCCACAATACAAGGAATTAAATATTAGAAAATGTGAAGTTTCGTTTACTTTTGTATTTGATATTTACCTAAGAAATTGCCGTTTTTTATGAAATAATTGAACGTCATTGATTTTTATATTTCTTATATTTCTATCAATCAAAGTAATCACCCATACAATTAGCGTTGCCAGGGGTCCGGATAAAGCCGGACACAGTAGGCCTTTTGGTTGCATGTCCGGCCAAATTAGACGGTGTCCGCCTTTTATTAGGATTTTTAAATTTGAACATTTCTTTGCATTTTTCATATAGGTGCTTATATAATACACACTACAGCAATTATTGAAATTAATATTGTAATGAATATTGAATGATTAATAATAAAGAAGACTGATTTATTCCATTGTCGTTATTTCGATAGTTATAGATCTGATGAATACTAACCACAGAATACCTGCGTAAAATAGGAGCACTAAGCTGCTTTGTTTCTGAGTGTCAAGTACTGAAAATTCTTTTTACTGAGAACGAAGCATGCTATTAGAGTCCTAAGGTGTGACGGCGCATCTACATTTTGATTCTTAATCGTATATAAATGTGTTCGTGTCTACGTGCCTACGAGCCACAGCATCCATTTATCATCAAGGGGACTATGTGTACATTTGCCGCCTTTATTCTATACAAACAAATCCCAGAAGCCATAATATTTATTTAGAAAGTAGTAGGAATATGTATAAAAAAAATAAAATTGAAAAACAATGGGATTTCATACTTGGCTATTTTTGTGTATGGCGAAGATTGAATTCTATTTATCTGTACTTACCCAATACTTCTCCCATGCCGATGAACACTCCGGACAGGCCAACGAGTTGCTTGGCATTCTCGCCCATCGACAGTGTGAACCCGATACTGGGGCTGTACACTCCGCTGAAGAAAGACAACTCCACGCCTACAGCAAACATTTATTAAATTATTATTATTAATTATTGAACTCAAAAAATTATATTATAAATTATAATGTGTTTATAGATTTGGTAGCTCAAGAATTAAGCGCTCGCTGTAAATTTTACAGTACACGAGCAATGTTTAATATCCACCGGCACAAATTTTTTTAAAAAAAGGAAGAAAATGAAATTGTTATTTGCACTTTTAAGTGCTGATTTACGACTGTTTCCGGTGAAATAATATGCTGTGTATAAGGGAACCTGCTTGTCTGAAGAATAAAATAAAATGAGGCTTGTGTCCAGAAGACGAAAGTACATAATATGATATAAGCTGTAATTTAACATTTTTAAATTTATTTTTTTATAAAACTTTAAACTGTATTGTACTTTGTGTATCAACCTTTTTCCCCAGATTTACTCCAACCAATTACTGCAAAAATTTACCAAGTTTTTATCAAGTTATAGTTAGCAAGTAACTATGAGGTAAACGTAGTTTCATTTCTTTGCTCTGAGGTTCCTTTAAAGTTCACCAATGAAGCTGATTTTTGCCTACCTTCGCTAGAATTTCGGAATTCCAAACAAAGTACCTATTCTAGGTTTATTTCCAGTAATGTGAATGAATATCATATGTATATCAAGTAGATCCGATAATAATCAAAGTCGACTTTAAAAAAAAATCAACGATATTACTTAGTCAGGTCATAAGTTCTGTCAAAAACTTTTTATAAAATTAATGATACACTTTTTGATAATTATATAGAAATTATATATGAAATGAAAGGTAATTTAATTTAGAATACAATTTTATTTAAATTATTCAAAATGCCCTCCCCTATTTTAGGGGAGCTTAATCGACGCGGACAATCATCAATCGCAGCACGCATCACACTCATATCTATTTCTGCCGCTGCTTTAGGCAAAGATGCTCCGAGAGATTTCAAATTCTGATGAGGTTTAGCGCAGACTTTCTCCTCGAAATGTTGCCATATCTTATAATCCAGTGGGCTTAAATTTGGACTAGAAGAGTCTCCAGTCTTCATGTCCGATAAAGTCAATTCCATGGGCGTTCAACCAGTGTTGCGTGCTACGTGCCCTATGAGCTGGTGCAGAGTCATGTTTGAATATCCAATGTCTGTTTTAGAACATTGTTTGAGAAACAGGTTCCACTATGTTTGTTAGGACGGTATTTTGGTACACCCCGGCACTGGTTTTTACACCTTTTTCACAGAAAAACACCTCAGTTAAACCTGAATATGAGACTCCAAGCCAAACCATGAGTGACGAAGGATAATGTGCTCGTTGAACCCTCGGAATACGCGTGCTAGCTTCTTCACTGTGGGCTTACACCTTATCATTTTGTTTATTATAACTTTCTTCGATGTAAAAAAATTTTTCATCCGAAAACAAAATTTCGCGGTATTTTTTCCCGCGTATCGCCGTAACAAAGCTAATTTTTTTTCAAACGCTCGTTCAAAAAATGTCCGGTGTTCTTACGCTAAGCTCGTAGGTCTAGGTCTTCATTGACCACTTTTTTGTGTTGTTCACCGTGGTTCTGCTTAGGCCGATCTGAAGAGCTAAGATTTTTTGTTTACGAACAGGATTTCGTTGGCTTCGCGCCTTCACTGCTTTGATGATCGCGGGTGTCCTAACTGTACGAGGTCGGCCGATCCTCTTACGATCTTCGAAGCTTGAATCTTCAGTGAATTGTTTGATAGTGCGATAAACAAATCGTAGGGTTATTTTCAATTTTTGTAGAATATTGAAAATCTTTTTTGGCGCGTAACCACAGCGGTGCAACGCGATAACCGCTACTCTATCTTCCTTCTTCGACCACTTTATATTTGAAAATTAATGTCTTTTTTATTTTCGGCAAGCGCAAAGGTTATATTTTTAAAATTGATTCATCTAGTCAGTATTCAAATTTTTTAAATAATAAGGTTTTGGCAGAACTGATGACCCGACTAAGTATAAGTATTTAATTTATTTAGCGTTTGCACTTAACTTTTACCTAAAAATCCTCGTATAAAATGTTTCCATACAATTTTGGTTGATAGATTATTTTAATTTTACTCAATTTGTACAGGTGTAACTGAGGCGTGGTAATTCAATCCTTTAACTAATTAAATTTTATAGTCCGCTTATTTGCAATTAAAGTGCTGATTTACAATGTGCTCGGCGTAAAGGTAAATATCGTAAGAAAATATGCACGTTTGAGGTATTAAATATTTCTTGTATGAATCCCGCCAACAGCCACTGGTGTAACCCGTTGGACCAATTGCTCCAGAACGCTCAGAAACGAGACACCAGCATTAGTTCCTATTTAGACTGTTACTTTTACAGATCTTAACTGGGATTCAAACACGGAAACGCTCGTCGCTGACCGTATTTCATAGGAAAATGTACACATAACCCGTGTATAACATTATGTAAATTAACTTGCCTAAACATTTCAAAGCATTTATCAGCTGCTCAATCTACCAGATAAATAAACTCTGGCAGATAAACATGAAATAAACCAGTTCCTACGCCTATTGTAAAACATCTTATTTATTATTTAGTAAATGTATTCAGCAGTAGTATAGCTAGTACTTATTTCGGTTCATCGATTTATAAATAGCTTTTTTTAATGACTATGTATCTATCTAATTTTGTTTATGAATTGAGTCGTGTATTGGCGGCGTAAGAGAATGTTACTATCCCATACAATCCCGTTGGTATCCCAGAGCCGTCAGGTAGAGACAGGTATAGATGGGCAGCAGCACCTAGTGTGACAACTTTGACAAATATTCTCCTATGTGCAAGCTATGGGAGTACGTGAGGGGAGAGCCGTGGTAACTTAGATGGTTAACGCTCGCTGTAAACATAACAGAACGCGAGTAACCCGGGTTCGATCCCCGCCGGCACCAATGATATTGTTAATTGCAATTTTAAGTGCTCATTTACTACGTGCTCGGCGGTGAAGGAAAACATCGTGAGGAAACCTGCATGTCTGAGGAATAAGAAAAAAGATATATTTCGAAGACATGTGAAGTTCGCCAACACGCATTGGGGCTGCATGGCGGACACTTCCTTGCCCTAAAATCCTCTCAGAAATGAGGGGAGGCCTGTGCCCAGTAGTGGGACGTATATGGGCTGTAACTTCACTTTTTACAAGCTATGGGAGGAAATTTGATATACGGATTACGGAAAATCTATGAAATACGGCTTGATGTATCGGGTAATCGCGTACCAATGCATCTATCATTTTATTACATCCGTTTTATTACTATTTTAATGGAATATTCTTGTCGCGATTGTAATTAAATTCAGAATGTTATAACTTGATTAAAACTACTTTTACGGATTTTATCGCGTTTTATTTATATTAATTTTAATTCCCGACGTTTCGGGTGCTTTCCAGCACCCATGGTCACGGGGGACTGAGGTGACTGACGTCCCAATGTCAAAGTCAACCCGGAGTACCTTCAGCTTTTTAATTATTGTTTTTGGTGACCAAAGACAATAATTAAAAAGCTGAATTTGAGCTGACATTGGGACGTCAGTCACCTCAGTCCCCCGTGACCATGGGTGCTGGAAAGCACCCGAAACGTCGGGTATTAAAATTAATATAAATAAAACGCGATAAAATCCGTAAAAGTAGTTTTAATCAATGTATAGTGTTCGCGTAAATATAAGAAATCATTATGTTATAACTTGATTTTTAAACTGGTCTACAGATATCTCTCCATAGTCAAACATATTATTATAATCATTTTATTAATATTATGACTTTACGCTCGTTTACCAAATAGTGTTAGTCAAAAATTGCTTGAAACCGCATTTTTTAAATGTATTTTAACAAAACCTTAACACCTTTCGTCATTACGGGAATGAAACTGCATAGTTAACAGATGAGAAGTTATCTCCGTGTCGTGTGGCCGGGTCCGAGGAGAATGAAACAGACGTACAGCAGCGTCGTCCTCGTTACAACTCAAAATAATAAAAAATCTGCGGTTGTCAACCCGGTATGGTACCCAAGCATGGTAACTACGGAAATATCGTCACTATGAGGCAATATACGGAGAAATCCTAAGTTTAGACTGTGATACATACGATATTAATCGGCTATCCATTTAGAAACCGGTACGGGGCAAACAACACTGATATTTTTTGGGAAGTACTTTTAATAATTTTTCGAAGTTGTGTTATTATTTTTCTCTTTTCAAAAGTCGTATGTACCAAGATATTTGTTAGGGTAGGTTAATGCAATCTTACATTTAGATATGTTATTTAAATAATTACAAATTTTAGAAAAATGAAACGATATGATTTAAAGAATCTTAAAAGATTGTAAAAGTCATTACATAACGTAGATAGGACGTAAATGTATACATATTAATCCGTAACAGAATATTTATAATATTAATATTGTGTTGTTAAAGAAATCATACTAAATTTTATTATGCGGCAAACTGTGCTTTCTATTTGAAAACTTCAAATGGCGGTAGTTACAAAACCAAACTTTTCCGTCATTATTTAAAGAAGCGTAGTTTACTAGTGATGTTAAATACAACTTCATAGATTCCAGTTGTGTTCTAAATTAATTCTTTGTATACTTAGGTAAAGAAAGCCAAAAAATTCAGTTTTTAGTATGTTACAGTTATAGTTTAAAGTTTATTTTTATCTTTCACTTATAATAACAAGTGGTAAAATTAAAAATTTTGTACATCCGATTTAAATATTAATAAAATAAAGAACATCATCAATGTACTTGAAGTCAATCAAATACGCATTATTAGAAAAAACAAGATCAACAAATCTTGTTTTTTCTAATAATGCGTATTTAAAATACAATCAGATCTTGTACAAATTTATATGGGACCAAATGAGAAGCACCAACTTTCAAATGAAAAAAAAAATCATCAAACTCGGTTAACGTAGAAAAAAGTTCTGAGGTAACATATTAATAAAAATACAGTCGAATTGAGAACCTCCTCCTTTTTTTTGAAGTCGGTTGAAAAGGTAATAAATTTAAAAAAAAACGACGGGTTGCACTCAGGGAGTGCCGGCAGAAGTGAAAACTTGAATATTAACGTTGTGCATTTTTGATATTTTGGGATGATTAGGAAATAATTTTGCACGAATTGCTTTAATTATCACACACGAACATTCACGAAGGCGCGCTGCGCCGCCTAAACGAAACAGCAGTCGCAGGCATACATTTTTGCCGCGCCGTAGAAAGTAAGGGGGATACTTCCTCTCCTACGCCGCGCCGGCTGTCTCTCTCTCTCCATCTGTCTTACGAATTTTCGATCAGGGCCACGTGTCCTGACGCGAGTTTAACATTTTTTACCCATTACAAAAAAAGTGTACAACGCCGCTAAAGAAGTTTTCACTTCAAAAAAGAAAAACACGTTGTAGAGTCTATAAAAGTAGCAAATGTCTCACCGGTGTAGATGAATGTGCAGCTAAGGAAGATCATATCACGTGTGCAGAACAACTTCAAAGCGCCTTTGAATGCTTCCAACGGGCCGTCGTTGTCGTGGTTCACTACGTCACTCTAGAATCAAAATCACATTGTGTTTGTATGAAATGAGGCCGACACAGTAGAAACAAACGTCCTATTTAAGCGTGTCTTCGTGGACTTTTATTTTATTGATATTTATTAATACACAAAGATGTCATGTAAAAGTTGAGGAAGTGGGGACTGAAAAACCATCTCCAAACAACCCCCATAGAAGCAGGCAAATTTAAACCCCATAAAATTTAGTGTCTCCAACTTACACACGAAAAGAAATTTCAACATTGTTCAGCAGTACTTAAAATAACGTGTGTGTGTGTGTGTGTGTGTGTGTACGTGCGCGCGCGCGCGAGCGTGCGTATGTGTGTGTGTGTGTGCGCCATGTAGTGGCGGTGTAAGAATATCCACTAATCCACATCGTCTCGTGGCTATCGTAAAAGGCAATAGAGGGAAATTGAAACAGATGATGGGCTCACTACTACTCAAAATATTAAAAAAATGCGGTTGACAACCCACTCGCCAGGCGTGACAGCTATGGGCAATCCCCTCTATGAGGCAATCTATGTGGGAGGCCTGTGTTCAGCAGTGAACTTTTATAAGCATGGATGGATGGACTTAAAATAAAGTAAGGCCTGTGATCCCTGGGACGGGTGACTCCTATGGAATCAATAATATCTAGGCTCTGATAGATGGTAAGCACCCAGACTAATTAAACGGAACCATGAACACAACCAGAAAGTGAAATATTTGTAGTAAATATTGGCCAATCTACTTTCGATGCCGATTAACGTTTATTCATACAATCACTGAAAAAAGCACGTCTAGAAACAGACTGTTGATTCCAATAGGTTTTATAAGAGGCTACTATGGAAAATACTGAAAATTCTCATGGCTTTCTATGTATGACGATGTAACTATCCCGCTGACATCAGATGTAAATACATAGACCAGCGACAAGGAGCTAGTAGCGATTTTATAATGATGCATAAGCCCCGCAAGTTGATATTGCGACTGGCGGCCATCTTAGTAACGTAATCGAACTGTCAGTACCGTTCGAAAGGTCAGCCAGCGCTTACGCCATAGAATACCCGTGTAGCCACTAACACGTCAATTCACACGTATAAACGTCAACACGAGACGTGTTTTGACGTTACAATCGTTTCCAAATTTCGCATGCAAATTATTTAAAAAATGCCAAATTGCACGCTATTTACAAATAAATATGTATTAAAATCCGTCTGTCAACACAGCGAATCGGGTTTGTAGTAGTGATTAACTGATAATACGACGTAATTGCTTGTACGTGTCCTATCCTAGTATAAAATAAGGTTGACAGCCATTCTATTGTGTATTATAGTATTGGCTTACACGTATAGAGTACCTCAACCACGTGTTTTTATAGCTTTTTTATTTTGTTTGTTATTTTTATCGTACTTATTCTGTTACAATGAGTAAGAAAGTAATTAACAGCCGTGCTCGTGAAATGATTATTAAAGTGGACAATTATTAGTCTAGAATTATTAAATTGTATTCATAAACATAGATTTTTTATACTTGTTGTTATTTATAAGTAGTTCATTAAAATTGGTTTAGAGGTTTAATGAAAACGTATCAAACAGACAAGACTACTTTCACGTTTATTATATTAGTAGTAGTGATGCAACAGAAGTGTCATATCGAAAGCAGAAACGAAAACAGATGTTAAAAATATTTTTTTGCAGAAACGGAAACAGAAACGGATGCGGAAACGGAAATAATACTTATTAAAAAATTACAAATAAAACTTTTATTATTAATTAATATAAACTTCAAGTAAAAAATAAATAATATAAACTCACGTGAAAAATAATTAATATAAACTTCACGTAAAAATAATTAATATAAACTCCACGTAAACATAACTGCTGCCTAATTAATTTTACAAATCAAGTTGTAACAAAGGCATTTAGTAAAAACTCGTTTTAACTGGAGAAAACACGTTTTAAGTTTTAACTAAAACGGGTTTTAACTATAACATAGGAATACATTTTATAAATAAATACGTTTACATTTCCTTGACTGACCACTTGTTTTTTAGTTTGCGATGAAAGTTTTAGTTTCAGCTAACTTTTCAAACTCTGCAAAATCTTCGGCGTGTATCGCTTTAAGATAGTTCTTTAAAGCGGTAGTTGGCGGCCTTTTCTCAAGTTTATTTCGTCACATAATTTACATCTGGCTACTAAATCATCGATCTCAACATAATAGTTCCAAACAGGACTCATTTTTGGCTTCATGATTGCACTGAAATTACACACACGACTCAAATTACTAATCAACTATGAAAACAATAACAGAAAATCTTTAAATCTTACACTCGCGTCACGGCGTATAATAAAGTTGAAAAAGTATGTAAACAAACCCGTTGGGACAAGTGCCGAAAGCACATGCCTAGCTCCCTTGTGGTTGGCTGAAATGCCCCCCCCCCCCCCTTTACACGTGCTCAACTATCAAACGATGCATGCGTACGTTGCCGCTGCTTCACATGAGTAGAAAAACGGAATTTCATCTACTTATGTGACTGCGTCGCTGAGTTCCGTTCAAAGTTCCGTTATAAAACTTGCGGAAACAGAAGCAGAAACGGATGTTAAAAATCATTCAGAACTTCCGCAGTTGCGGAAACAGAAACAGAGTTCTGTTGCATCATTAATTAGGCAATTTTATAGGAAATATTTATAATGAAATACCTACAAATATATGTATATAATATAATATAAACACCTATAATCCTAGGTTATTAACATTTCTACCACAGGTGGCAACACCTCACACGTAAATAAGATTAACTTTTTTATTGTCTGTACTTTTTTGCGCTGGATGACGTCACGCAGATGTGACAAGTTTACATCGTATATCAACGTGCGGGGCTTATATTTCAAAATGGTAATAAATAAAACTTTAAAGCATGGTATGACAACAAAAACGCCCCGTAATTCAGCCTGCAAACTAGCGCATAAAAAGATATTATATAATTATTTATACCTGGACTTTTGCGGTCATACCAAGGCATACGAATATAGAGAATATGTAGAATGGGTTGTGCGAGAGATTTGCTTTAAAAGTGCAATAACGGCGTGGTACCTCTTGAAATTTCACCTTTACATCATCGAGAACCGGCGCCCGTCTTATCGGCCTCAAAAGAATGAGGAATACTATGCCGAGCGCACAGACTGCGGTCAAAACTCCGAACACTACGTTTCTGGTCTCCAAGTCTATGTGGGTCTTGCCTTGGAATTTGATGAACACGAACAGATTTCCGAAGAATAAGCTGTAACAAACCAATCAAATGTTTACCGAGTACAGCATGATTATTTCTTTCAAATGTGTTAGTACAACGAATTTAAATATGAAAATCCTAATAGTGTGACCACCACACGGTCAGTTCAACTGATCAGTTCAAACTAGGACTGTTGATATTTTTAAAAATATCGGATTTTCGATATATCGATAATTATAAATATATCAATATCGTAGTTTTATATATAAGATTATTTGTCGATATATGGAAAATCCGATATTTTAAAAAATATCGAGACTCACGGTCAGTTCAACCGATCATTCTAACTGATATAAATTAATATATATAAAATATAAATTTTTCATATCCATAATTATTCGCTTTGCGATAATAAAGTCGTAATAACGTAATGTTACTTCCGTTAACCAATCGTCTGATAACGAAGTGTAGAGGAGACGTAGCCAAATATTACACAATTTATTAACAAGGCAATTGAAATCATTCATTTATAGACATTCAAAACTAACAAAGATTCGAATGCAACATTTGAAACTATGCAGTATAATTTTTAATATCCTTGAATTTGATGGCGATACAATTAATTTTATTGAGAATTAGTATGTTCTCCCGGGAGAACTGATGGTACTGTGTCTTTAAACCAAACCCCTGCACCAGGGTATCAGAGCCAGTATAGTTACAGGTATTTCAATTTGGACTTCAGCTGACAGCGCATCATCGGCCTTTTTTCTTTGAAGTTGGCTGCAAGCTGCTTAGGCTACAGCAGCCACTCATGACTCACCATCAAGTGAACTGTAAGATTGTAAACCACACTGATCTTATATATAAAAATCAATTGATATCCGTTAGTCGGTAAAACTCGAAAACGGTTCGAACGAGATAGATTTTTTTTTCGGGTATATTTGAGTAGGTCAAATTAACCCAAAAAGGCGCCGTTGATGAGATCCAGCAATGACCCGCAGCTTTCATACTTAACGTATTATACAATACGTACACATGTATAAACGTTTAATCACACATTATCATATTAAGTTAATGCGTTTTTAATTTTAACAAATTATTATATATAATAAATACATAATACATAAACACTCACGCCTGTCACCCAGAGGGGTAGGCAGAGACTACGGACTTCCATTTGGCACGATCCTGACATACCTCTTTCGCCTCCTTTACATCCATATATCTACGCATACATGCTCGTCGGTTAAGGGTACTTCTAAGGTGGCCCCTTTTCAAAATATCGCCAATTTGGTCGATAAACTTTTTTCTAGGGCGTCCCTTCCCGACTCGGCCGTTCACATCTGCCATATAAATTTGATTTGTCACTCTTTCCTCATTCATTCTTTCTACATGACCAAAGCACCGAAGCATTCCTTTTTTAATCCTGGTCACAACATCATCTTGCATACCACATTTATCTCTTATCATGCAATTTCTCACCCTGTCATTCAGATTCAACCCTAGCATACTCCTTAAAGACCGCATTTCTACAGCATTTATTCTACTTTCGTGCTTCTTCTGCCACACCCAGCTTTCACTACCATACATTAAAGTAGGGACTAACACAGCATTATGAATTACCATACGTGCCTTTTTTGACACATTCTGGTTCTTCATAATAGAGTGTAGTGCCCCATTCAATCTATTCCCTGCATTTACTCGTCGTTCTATATCCCTATCATATCTAACATCCCTGCTAAATACACATCCCAAATACACAAACTCATCCACTTGCTCAATTAACTCTCCTTCTATTCTTATTTCACATACCGTTTTGCTTTCTTCTCTTTCAAAAACCATCACTTTCGTCTTACTTGCGTTCACTTTCATTCCCCTTTCTTTTAATTCCCAGTTCATTAATGTAACCATCATTTGCAACTCAGCCGCCGATGACGCAAATATGACTTGATCATCGGCATACAAAAGACATTTGAAGGTTAACTCGCCCATTCTTAACCCACATTCTTCATCTTTCAAAGTTTGCAAACACCTGTCCATAAATAGGTTGAACAGCCAAGGGGAAGCTACACAGCCCTGTCTGACACCTTTTTGGATGCCAAACCAGTCCGAGTAGACCCCATTGATCCTGACACAAGCACTAGAGTCCCTATAAAGAGACCTTAATGCCTGTATCAAACCAGCGCTCAACCCATATGAGTTCAGTGTTTGCCATAACACATTCCTGTCCACTCTGTCATAAGCCTTTTCCAAGTCCATGAACGCACAAAAAACTTTCTGGTTTTTGGCCAAAAACTTCTCCGCAATCATGCGCATGGAAAAGACTTGATCTGTACACCTCATTCCCCTTTCTAAAACCCGCTTGCAAATCCCAAATTTTTCCATCAGTTTCTTTCATAACTCTTTCAATTAACACCTTAGCATACAGTTTACCCACAATACTAAGCAAGCTGATACCACGGTAGTTTTTGCAGTCCTGCTGTGACCCTTTTCCTAATTCCAAATAATTATTCGTTAAGTAATACTTCTATGAAGTAATCAAGTATGTCAATTATCTTAATATGTCTATTAGGATAATACATAAACTTGTATTAATTTATTATCTGTTAAGTCCAATTTAATTGCAAAGAACAATAACCTAGACCCACCAATAAGATATTACCATTTAATAAATAATTTATTACTTTGCAACCTTCCGCTAACCAATTACAATGATATGTCTTACCTGGATTGAAGAGCACCTCCCGCCCTCCCTCAATTGCATGCACTAACTCCGTCACCACTACTTCCAACACCACTATTCCAGGTAAGACACACCATCGACGACAATACGACACGTGTTTCGCCTCTACACGAGGCATCTTCAGGTAATGTAGACTCTACGGCGACTGACCGCTAAGTCTTAGCGTAATTGGTTAGCGGAAGGTTGCAAAGTAATAAATTATTTATTATAATGGATTTCCGCAAAGTAACGCCTGATTCTATCAATTATATTACCATTTAGCTTAAGATAGTGTTGCCAGGTGTCCGTATAAAGCCGGACACAGTCAGGCTTTTTGGTTGGCTGTCCGACCACATTAGACGGTGTCCGCTTTTGTTAGGCCAATATTGTAATTGCAATGTTACATACATAACATTGCAATTACAATATTGTGATGAATATTGAATAATTAATAAAGAATACTGATTCATTCAATTGTTGTTATTTCAAATTATAAAAAGCATTGTTTTACTTTAAAAAAAACTGTCGTTTTACAAGACTAAAAAATTAAGGGTGTCCGGCCTTTTTACCAAAATGTTCGGCTAAGTTCGCCGATCTGTAGGGCTTTTCGGTTTTAAGACCTGGCAACCCTAGCTTAAAACAGTTTTAAAAAACACAACACAAATATTCGCATATATATTCTATGTTTAATTTACTCGGTGCTATCACGCAAGGAAACTTATTAGGAATAAAGTGCAAATCACCTGCACTGCAGCATAGCCCAGAAGATCCCGGAGTTCCGCGAGATGGTGTCGGCGTCGCTGTTCAAGGTCAGGTAGTTGCCCTGGCCAGTCCAGATGGCAGCAGCGCCGGCACCGATCAGTACGCTCGCCACGTAAAGTAACCACGTGCGAGGCAATAGGAACGTAACAATGAAGAACCTGCAAATGAAATAGCATGTGAACCACGAAGCTTAAATATATACAGATATTATATTAAAGCTGAAGCGTCACTACCATCCAAATAACCATGACATTAAGATGCATCCTGGCTATCATCTTATACCCGTTCTCTTGACTTACAACATCATTATCAATCACAGTTAGGTAAAGCAGAAAGGTAAAGTAAAGTAAAAATTATTTTATTAGTATTTTCGTGACTAAAAAAGTGAAGTATCTACTACTACTATGCTTTGAAAGGGTAATTTATGAATTTTATTACAATTTCCAACATCTAAAAATTATTTTATTCGATAGTTTATACATTCAAGAAGTATTCCTTTAAGTTTTATCCACAAATAATGTCTCAAAGTGAAAATATAGCAAAATTTGCAAGTTACCAAAAATTTTGCAATTTCCGCCATTTTAAGGTCGCGAGCGAACAGGAGTGTCAAATTACGTGACCTTGCCGAGCTTACAGTAAGGGCTGTGTAGACAGCGTTTGCATTTGACGTGCAGCGAGGCGCGTGGCACCGCAACGAGTTCGTCATATATTTTAAGGTGCCACCACTCAGGACACTTAAACGAACGCGTGATGTTTCCGCCAAACATCTCGCCCAGCTGATCAGTTGAAAGCTTTCAGTGTGGAACTGTAAAACAACAGTGTCATACACGCCGAGCACTTTGTCTTACAGGCTAGGGTTGCCAGATGGTCGAGATTCGTCTGGATTCTCCCGACATTTCTCTCTCTCTTCAGATTCCCGACAAAAGTCAAAATCTCAACAAATGGCTCCTCGGAAAGTTAATTATCCATTAATAATAAGTTAGTAATTAGACTGAACTTTGAAATATATATATATTATTTTCTGAATACTACTATAGGATCCAAATTGGTGGAGTTTAGTAAAGTTTAATGCCAAATACATGTGGCAATCTAAATATTAAGTGTACTTAAATTAGTTTCGTTGAAAGTACTTTTTGTAGCCTCTTAATTAAAATAATAAACTTTTTATTTTTAATATTCATTTTTCCCGACAACAACCCCAAAATCCCGACTTTTCAAAATTTGTCGAGATATTTTGGTCTAATGATCTGGCAAACCTACTTACAGCAAGCTCGAACAGTACGACGTTCAGTTCCAATACTAAAATTCAAAGGAAAAGCGATCTATCTAACGGCAAGCAATAAAGACAGACAGTGATCACTTAAATGCTACTTCTGAGTTCAATCAGACTTCGAAACAAGTATTTTTCATGGAATTTGACCGTCTCAACATCTACGATGACGAATTTAAACTTAGTATCAGCATTTTGGCGTAAGCATTATATTAATAATGAATAGATTAGAACAAGTAAAAGCCTTTATGGTTGTGAGATATAGAAACCATTGAATTAGGTGGAGATCTACGAGCATCTTCATTACTGTAAATATAAAGAGCGCACAGTGATTATTATCACGTACAGCGTCATGTGAATAGACTATTCGATTTCACCTTTGCTTGATTAGTTAAATTGTAGACAAAACAAATATTCCATTACGGTTAAATTTAAATATCAGAAACTCACGACTTGTTTTATATAAAATGATAAAAAAATCCGATTTACATACCCCCTACCTTGCTCTATCATAAAAACAATTATTAAACCAAAATATTATCACCTTCGATCAACATTTCCAACTAGATAACGGGTCACGTACAAAATCATAGCTAAATACTGTCCGCATGAATATAAACTATGAAAGACATAAATTAAATAACATTTAGTGTGAAATCAACCTTAAGTTATAAAAAATAAAGTTCTTTTCCCCGTTATTGCCTTGCGAGCTACACTCTCACGTGCAAGAGCTACGTCTCATGTGCGCTCTTATTTACATCCATCTAGTTGGTATTGTTGATCGAAGATTATGACTATTGCTTTCTGGTATAGATTGTAAAATACTGTTTACCCAATATTATATAAAACCCTAAACGAATAAATAAATCCCAAACATTTCTAGGCTTAGGATCCCAATAAATTCGCAACATCCTCCACAGTCATTTTCCTAAATTCCTTTAGTTTTCGTAATATTTTCCTTCAACGCCGACCTCGAAACATACGCGTGATTAAATTCGATAATAAAGTAATTGTGTCAAGTTTTCAATCAGCAAATAATCGATCATACAGATCATCTAATTATAATTACATTTATTTATATTTCTGTCTGTCTATGTGTCTGTATAGTTGTGCCTGTCTGTCTTCGACCAATCCACCAAATTTTTAGTTTTAGCTTGACTAAATTTTGTTAAGTTCAGTAAAACTGAAACTAAGCAGCAGGTAACCTAACTTGTCGAATTAAGTGTTTTGTGTCCCAAATATTTAAATTCTGGGACTCAATCGAACATAGCAATATTAACGAAAGATGCCATCCATTATAAGAGGCAACAACCACAACAAGAATATAACAACAACAACAGGGTGGCATGTTCGATATACAATCAATACTTTCATCACGTCATATCATTTCCATATAAAATAGAATACTATTTTATTCTTTGAATAGAAAGACATTTATTTAACAAACACGGTAAAAAATAATATAATAAAAGCAAAATAATTAGTGCGCCTCTAGTACCTTCAAAAATGAAAACTACCACTAAATTAAACGGGAAATATTGTTAAGACAGTCTCATGTTATATATAAATTAAATAAGCACAAAATTTCCTAAACCTTAAAATGTTGGTCATTGTTGCGCTGTAACTCAGACTATTCAACACAATATATAATAAAACACAGGGTTGAATGGTCTAAGGCTGGCAATACCATTTGATGAGTGAAAATAGTACTTGTATCTGAATTTGCAAACGTTCGCAATAGAGGAAATGCAGAATCATCTGGGATACACTCAGTTATATTCCATTCAAACAGACACATTTTAAAAATCAAATTTGATAAAATAAATAAATACATAAGGACTATTTTATTTATATATGCCGATGAATTGATAAATATCCGTATACATACGCAGCTTACTTATCTAAACCTGATTACACTTCAACCCTTATGACACAATCGAGATAAGCCAGGCGACAGAATTATTTATTTTGTTAAGAAATGGGTCAATATGCGAGAAATTTCATTACACAGATAATAAACACGCCATCCCGATGCTTTAATATCAATTATTATGTGACCTAACTATGATACAATATAATATAAATAATATTTTCTTTATTTAAATTATTGTTGTTGTTGGTGCGTCGGTTAATAGTCGTGTAAAGTTGTGAACAATTTGACCGATTGGAAGTCATATTCATATAATATACTTTAAGTATTTATTGGTCTACTAGCTTGCCAGACAGACGTTGTTCTGCCCTTTTCGACGACCCTTTGTCATGTCCTATTAAAAATACTTAAATTCGCAAAAAAAATTGTGGGCCACTCATGGGCAAAAAACTATCCTATCTCTCAAGTTGGGCCAAACTGCACACGGTGTGCAAATTTGATAAAAATCGGTTAAGTAGTAGGAATCCATCGCGGACAAACAACGTGACACGTAATTTATATATATAAAGATTAGTCTATAAAAGAATACTTAAAAATAAAATAAAAAGCTGGATAATACGAGGGTGGATTGAAAAGTACTCGGCCTAACCAAGAAAATAAACACATACTAAATCAGTAATATTTTTATTTTTCTACATAATTACCATCAAGTTCAATACACTTTTGCCACCTCCCCTTCCAAGCATTTAGACCGTTGAAAAAAAATTATTCTTCCTTAGAGTCAAAATATGCGTCTACAGCTGCTTTGACCTCGTCGTTTGTCGAAAATCTTTGACCTTCCAAGTGCTTTTTTAGGTTAGGGAACAGAAAGAAGTCTGATGGTGCCAGATCAGGCGAATACGGCGGATGCGGTAACAGTTCAAAGCCACAGTTGTGAATTTCAGCCATTGACTGTACTGACGTGTGAAGACGGGCGTTATCTTGATGAAACAGTATTATGTATGTGTAGCATGTACATTTTGAATTGAATGAGATCATGACATCTTTACTGCCCATAACTCACTCTCTGTTCTACCCAAGGTTAGCTGGTAGAGAATGCCATATAGCATTAAGCTCGCCTTTTGTACAAAATCTTTGGTGCAATAAAGAATAAAATAAATAAATAAACAGGACTTTTCTTCTGAGCATTCCTCGAAGTTTTTCTTTTATTTCCTCTAGTAAACGACGTAGTAAGGTGCAGTAGTAATCAGAGTTTATAGTCTGACCCCTTTCAAGATAATCAATCATAATCACACCTTTCGAGTCCCAGAATACTGAAGCCATCACCTTATTTGCCGACAAAATCGACTTAGCCTTTTTTAGGGGGTGGTGAACCAGGTCTTCTCCACTGTTTTGATTGTTGTTTTGTTTCCGGTGTACAGTAATGAACCCATGTTTCGTCCATAGTAACAAAACGATTCAAAAAATCATCTGCATCGGCTTCAAATAACTCCAAACAGTCGCGTGAAATAGTCAATCGCGTCCTTTTTTGTTCAACTGAAAGCAGTCGCGGAACCCACCTCGCAGACACCTTGTGGAAACCCAACTCGTTGACAATGATGTTTTGAGTTCATTCATAAGAGATGCCTATAATCTCGGCTATCTCTCTAATTTTTAACCTGCGGTCTCCCATTATTAAATCAAGTACTTTTTTAATATTTTCGTCAGTAGTTGACGTCGAAGGCCTTCCAGAGCGGGGTTCATCTTTCACACTCTCTCTACCACGCTTAAATTCTGCTATCCATTTTTTTAAAGGATGAATATGACAGAGCACAATCGCCTAATGTACTGACCATGTCATCATGGATGGCTTTTGATGATAGCCCCTTCTTATGGAGGTACTTAATGACGGCACGCTGCTCGATTTGCTCCATTCGCGGAAATTATGTCCGATTACTTTGTTAATAAATTTATAAAATCACAACTAATTATCGCACACGTTTCGAACTTCACACAATGAACTAGTCTGTACTGAACTA